AAACACGGAACAAAAAAATGTCCATTCGTCATCATACCGATCTCATCTTGTGTCGTAAACAACCTGGAATTGCCATCGGAAAGCTTTGTAAGAATTGCGATGGTAAATGTGTGATATGTGATTCCTATGTAAGACCTCACACAAAAGTTCATATTTGTGATGAATGCAATTATGGAAGTCTTCAAGGTAAATGTATTATTTGTGGAGGAAAGGGTGTCTCCGATGCCTATTATTGTAAATCATGTGTGCTGCAAGAGAAAGACAGAGATGGATGTCCGAGAGTCATTAATGTGAGCCAAGCAAGAACAGATTTGCATTTCGAAAAGAAGAAATATGTACAGGGAGCTAATTTATAAATACTACTTGTATTGGCATCCTTTCATCCTCTAAATAATATATTATGGTATCAGCACGTGATTTTAAAAGGACGTTGTGGATTGGTGGCATCTTTGAAAAACACTTTGTGTCACCTATAAATTTACTTGGAAGTTGTGATGGTTGGATGAGAAGTGGATGGTAGTGGTGGTGCATTGGCCTGCATTTTCAAATTTTGAATCATTTCTGGCGGAATGAAATCTAACAGTCTTGAATTATTCACTAAATTATATGTTGAATCATCTTGGAACTCTTTCTCTTGTTGAATAGTATTTCCCATTTTGGCCAATGTTTCTTTTAACATGTTACTAAACTCAACAACCATACTTTGCATCTTTTGACGTTGTTCTTCAATTTCTCGTTGTTTCATTTCAATGATTTGATCCTTTTCTTTTTTCACTTCATGGAGTGCCACCTTTGCCAGATGCAACTGATCTGCCAGTGATGTATTCTTTTGTTCACTTGCATTCAACTTTTCGATTAAGGTTTTTTGGAGAGCCTTGTATTGACGAATCATATCGGAAGCGATATGAAATCGTTCCATCTTTTCCTTCTCAAAATCTTCATCGAGTTGAGAAAGTTTAGATTTCATCTCCATTTCTGAAGCTCTTGCTTTCTGTGTTTGTTCCGATCGCAACACCATGTATCGTTCCAATGTTTCAATTCGAAGTTTCAGTTTTTTAATTTCCTCCTTTTGTTCTTGAATAATGTCAGCCTCCGTTTTTTCTCCTGCTTTTGCATTTTTGTTTTTGGCATTCCCTTTCCCTGAGGATGCTTTTGATGACATGAGTATGTGGATGCAATGAGGCTATTTGAAAGTAGCAGTTTCGGAATTTGTGTTGTTGTTGGTGGTGGTGGTTGGTTGAAAGAACGACAGTTACCGTTCAGAATCGTAGATGTTTTTATTTTTAAAAAATGTTGTGAAGGTGGAGCGGAAATGGCGCCAATTCTTGAGATGTTTTTGAGAGAAAGTCGCAATTTGGTGTTTGTTGGGTTCCAAATCGCAATGCATC